CTGAGATCTAGCATCTTTTATAAAGGCCCAATGCTCGCTATTTCAGAGCATAACACTCGCATTACATGCCCATCCAGTATATTTTCTATCAACATATATAAGAATTCGTCAAAAAAAGTACTACTAGACTTGCAAAGTGCTGGCTGCAACGACGAATGGCCACCATTTTTACTCCACAACCTACCTGGATTACGTAAATCACAAAGAACATAGTCAATAATCACTCAAAACCAAACTCATACAGCTCAAATTAAACAATCTGAATCAGGACAACATTTCAAACCACCTGCCATTCTAACAGCACATTCCTTATTTCACTGCCACATAGCGCATATCTACACTGATAACACACCTAATTGCGGTGAGGCAGCATCATAAAGTTACCAATATCAAATATGTTTGCAGATCAGGGCCAGTCGACTCGACAAATAAAATTTTAATCGAATAGTTTTAATAGATAACATCACAATTATAATCTGCGTGCCCCTCGGGGATTAATATTTAACTTATTTCAATTATATATTACTTTTGAGTAAACATTGGCTGGTACTACGGACCAGTCCCCCAATCACAATGGAACAACTTGTTCTTTTTTATTTTTAATAAGTAATAGTATACAATTTTATTTTTAAATTTCCGACACACAATGGAACAACTTGTTCTTTTTTATTGCAGCTTCAAGATAAAAAGATGATTTTCGAGGTAAAGACATTTTTCATCATTACAATGTAATATTCCAGACAAGAGTGGCTGATAAATGAAGGGTTCGAATACTCTGGGATGGGTTACTCGTATATAAGTCCACATCCCAAAGGAGCGGATTTTTGCGGCTACATACTAGAGAAATTACAGACAGAAACAAGGTCAGCTTCCAGCTCACTGGGATCAGGTGTAAGTATTAATTAAGAATAACAAGTAGCTCCGCTTTGCAGCAACTATGCTAACGTGTCGTATATTTATGAAACCTCATTAAATTTCACATATCATTTCTATTATGTATAAACAATAAACATATTGTCTATATTTTTTACATTTCACTTCTATCAAGCGCTTCTATAAGAATATAAAGGTAAATTCACTCTTCACTCCCACTTTGGTGAAGATTTACAGTGTACAATGTTCAGCCAACACTTACAATGAGTACACAGTTCTACAACATAGATAGACACTTCACCATTGATAGCACAATTTGAAGTGGTACAAGATATCCCAAGCTGGTGCAACAGCAGTCGCATGAAGACTTTGTTTGGTAAGATTTCCTTAAATGTAAATTTGAATCATTTTCAGATATAGGCTCTGGACAGCCTTGTCACCTTGTATTGAGGAACATGGAGACAACTTTCTAGGATTCTTTTATCTTCTGTTGCTCTATATTAATTAAGTTTTCCTTGCATTTTAGTATCTCATTTGACTACCGTGTATTTTATAATTTGAGATTGCATTATGCCTTTCTTTGCACGTTTGGGTGTCATTATTTTTGTATTTTATATATTTTAACCCCTCTACTTTCCTTACAGTTCAGTATGTCCAGCCCGAAGGATCTCCTCAAAGCTATAACCTCACTAGGCCAAGCATACTTTGACGATTTCAAGGAGTCTGAATACTTAAGAGGGAAACTACGCAGAGCGGAATGCGTAATAAGAGATATAAGAGTGGAGCTAGAGTGCCTCGCTGACATTTGTACCCGAGGGGGATGGGGAGTGGATGGACTTGGATGCCACCCCTGGGCCACCTCTAATGTTGTTACTTGTTTGACATCTTCCATGAGTCCAATCAAACTTTAGTCGACACTTACTTAAGGTCTGTTAAATGTACTAATCTAGCAGCCTATTTGAATACGTCAGTAGTAGAAAAGCAGAACTAAGTTCTTGCTCTCACAAAGAGAGGATGGGCACGAAGGAGCTGTGCAATGTAGTTTGACCGTATAGTCATTCTATTTGCACAAATCGATATGGGAGAACTTGAATTAGACGGAGATTTTGTTCAGGATTTCAGGAATGAAGCCACTAATGAAGTAGTTCAAGAGATAACTTTTATCCTGACAAGTAAGGAGGAATTAATTTTATTTTAAATTTCGTACTTACTTTGATACTAAATATTAGGTGGAAAAAAATATTAATTATTTCCAATTCTGATAAGCAAATCTCAGACGCTGACTCTACCAGACCGGCCACATAGTTCCGATAAGAACGTGGAACACATTTATAGTTTTATTGCGTCCTAATATATGACAGTGTTGCTCATATAAATCGTAAGTCATCGTATCCACACTATACAATTACAATATTTAAAAACACTTTAATGTAATCATATGATGATATAAAAGCAAATTGATGGTGTTATCATACTTCACCTCCCGGCTTGCTCCATATCCCAAAGTTTCTACTAGATTAATCCATTCCTATTAATCCATATTATTAATAAAAATCGATTATACTGTACTATTTGTGGCAAAACCGGGACAAAATCATGTACTGTAAAAACACTAGATTGGTCTGCTGCTACAGCTGTAAAAGTTTGTGGGTTCAGAAGTTAGACCATCGATTTCAGAACATTGACAAAATGGTATTGTTCACGCTTCCTCGGAGTGAATTTACACAGAGTAGGTTCAATAAATATAAAATAACTAGAAAGCGACAGTTAAGTCATAAAATTATATTCAGAGTAAGTAATTCCCGAAGGAGGGAAAGTACGAGAATAGTTTGCAATGGAATTGGATACGCCATTACATTTCACAATGCTCAAGGTACTCTTTCATCCACGTATTCGGTGACCTTGATAACTAAATTTGGAAACCTAAAACCTATCACCAGGTCTTCCAAGTTTGGTCTCAGAATCTGGACTAAAAAAACAAATATAACTTATCAATATTTAAATATAAAACAATATAATACGATTATGAGAAACGTCATCATATTTACTTATTAAAAACCTTATTTCCGTTATTTTTTGGTCCGATTTACCAGTAACAAAGTGCTATAACTTGTTTCAGATATAGAAGAACGATGGGTCAAATGGGATAGTAGATGAAACGGAACAGAAGCTGTTTTGGAAGCTGTATACTTGTGTTACGAACAATTCAGATTGTGTCAATAGCCTCTGGGGAAGGTGGGACGAATACGACTATACTTGTGACTCAGATCATGGCACATCATCCGTGAACTTACAGCTTCCAACACTGTTCCATACTCTGAAGTCCCTGGCATTTAAGTCTCTCTTTGGGTCAGAACTACCCTTACCTCACCCAACCCTTTACACGTCCAGAAATCCTAGCGTAACACAGCTAATGATCAGTATTTAAAACAGAATTTCTGTAAAACGAATTTCTGTATGATTATGAAGCAGGGTAATAGTACGGAGGATTGAAAATTGCCATACCCAAAAATTATGGAATGAGCCGAAGACATCTGGAGATTTTCAAGCAGCACAGGACAAACGGAATTCAATTACTTACAACCCAAGCCTGGGAATGCAGAAGAGTTGTTGCATGGCAGAGTTGAGAGAGTAGCAGAAAACTCGCATTCGCTGAAGGTTATGACAAGAATCGTGGGAGCTGGTTCAGAAACATTTGTATTTATAAAACAGGAGATATTCCAACACCGCACCGCTAATACAGCACAAGCGCCTGGATATCAGAGCCCGCAATTTCTGGAGGGAAGGTCAGGACGCCTATTTCGATGTCAGGGTGACCCATGTGAATGCAAAGAGCCAAGCACACAAATCAACGGCTTCCATCTTCAAAAAGCACGAAGAAAATAAGAAGAGGGAATACAACGAGCGTGTGATGGAAGTTGAGCATGGTACCTTCACCCCACTAATCATAGGAACAAACGGAGGAATGGGTGAGGAATGTCAGAGGTTCGTGAAGTGGCTCGCAGAACTACTAGCCTTGAAAAAGATGGAAAGCTATGCTTCGACTATATAGTTTCAATTAACACGTTTTGAAGATGATTGGATTTATTGTTCATTTGCATGCTATGTATTGTATTTCAGTTTATCTTTTAAACCCATAAAGGGTTTGACCGTTGGGAGCGGTATCAAAAAAAATTTATAAAACAGGAACACAGAAGTGTTGCGTAATTGATTTATTTCAAAAATATATGTTTCATTGAATCATGTAACGTGTGTGTGAGTGTGTGTGAGTATAAGATTCTTTAATATAATTGCTAATGAGTTTACATAACTTGGAGTATCATTTGGGTACATCAGATATTACAGAAAGCATTTAAAGTAGCTTAAAGTAAAACTATTCCGAGTACGGAAGAGATCAATATCAAAGCCAATGAAATGTACGGCTTGATAATTGAACACTGAACAGCGCAACCACCACGAAAGTTGTGTTGGTTCAGAGGACTATTTTATCTATGAGACAGGCACACAGACGAAAGTATGTCTCCAATCTCAGCAACGTGATTGGGGAAATTTCTCTACTGACTGCACCGGGAATATATATTTAAATGATTTCAGATAATACTACAATTATTGGATTGGATGTTTAACTATTTAATATTGGCCACAAATCTGAAATTCTGGAGTGGATCGTGGAGATTTGAGAGAAGAAAACAGCCTCAGGATTAAAATGGACTGAATTGCAGGAAAATCATAGGAAGATCAGAATAACGCAACCACAGAATTACATTGACCTACCTAGCTTAATGTATTGCTAACATGATATATTGGGTCGCATAATTTAACAGGAAGTTGGAAGAGAACTAGAATAGAGAAAGACTAGATTAGTAACAGAAAAACTAGAATAATGTGATCATAATCCCATCTGAACTAAAATAAATGTTTAAAAAGTATATCGATCGATCCAGGTCAACGAAAAGAAAGATGAAATCCACTTGACCGGAGTTCCTGGAAGCCTTCGCTCATCTCAGAAAAATCGAGTTTCAAGAAGAGCAACCTCCTCCCTCTTCCACAACTAGCCCTAGAATAAACCATAAACCATAATCCCATCTTTACTAAAATAAATGTTAAGAAAAGTAGAAAGGACTCACCAAGAGTTTGCAGAATGATGGTTTCATTTCTGATCAGCTCTTCGACTTCTTTCTTATATTCCTGAGCATAAGTATATTAGAATATAATTAAGCATTTGACATATTATTTATTCAATATGAATTAAATTTCCAGCACTGTGTACATATTAAAAAATAAATTATGGGATAAATGAGAATAATAATTAAGACAACTTTGTCTTGATAACCAATCCCCAATCAGGGTATGAGCCAGCTGCGCAGGAAAATCAAGATGATAAATTAATTGTGAATAAGTAAGTTCTAGTAATGTTAGTGGCAACAGCGCCGGTGTCGTGAGTAAAATAGAGACACATATCTGAAGCATGTATGATTGTGGGAGTAAAGGGAAATTTACATTTAACACACGTCAGAAGAAAAGATTTTCAGTAGATTGTAAAATAAGATTGAACTCATTAAAGTATTATTTTTTTAAGTATGTGATTTGTAAACATCAAATTGAACCGAATTTAAAACGAAATTGGATGCATTAATGTTTAAAATTCCAGTCCATATTATAATAATTTACAATATATGAGACAAGAGAAACGCCGTCTTAGGACGCGAGGAGAGTTAGGACTCCTCGGACTACATTAAATATATCCTTTCTGTAACATCCTCAATAAATGTAATTTAGATTTGTAATGTTGTAATTAGTTTAAAACTCATGTACTAATACTTGGACGATATTTATTGGCCATACTGAAATGTAATAGATTGTGACTTGGCAGCAGTAAGTACAGGTGAAATGAAATGAAATAAAATGTTACAGAGAGATTTTTAATCTAATTGTAAGTCGTTAGATAAGGCAGTGATTCGTTGAATTAGGAGGGAAATAATACATTGTTTGTTTAAGCTTATCCAAACAGTTTCACGCTCCATCGAAACAGGATTATACAGGACATTAGACCTGACTCTCCCTGTATGAAACCAAACCTTAATTTACACCACAATCAAACCCTTTACCTGAGCATGAGCCTAACATTATCCTAAATATTACCAAGATATTCTTAAGATCACAAATATTCCAACAAACCTCGCTGTGGGGGTCGAGAGGTGAATAAACTTTGGGATTCGCGGGAGTTCCGTTGTTTAAAATAAAATGAGCTGTGTTGATTACGTGTTCTAATCTTCGGGGCTGCTCTTCCACTTTCGCTGACAGAAATATGCATGCTCTGGCTATTTTCTGAAAAGATTTTGGTTATCATATTTTTATGAAAAGTTAGTGAAAAGTTATGAAAATTATTAAATACCACGATGTAGTCCTGTGAACCTAGGATACTGACAAGTAGAGGCTAGGAATCCAGTAGATATACGGAAGTAATAATAGAGCAGGAAGTCACAGTTGCACTGCTGCTTTAATCGGTAAATTCAGCAAGTTAGTTGACTATTCAACACTCATTGGCACCGCCTCGCCGCCATGGGCCACGTTTAAGAAAGCACGGATTTGACTGAAACATAATCTATTCCAGAGTGGACCATGAACATCGTTGGCAGCTTTGAGGGTGCGTTATCGCCATTTATAAGATTGATTTCTAGGGATCTGCATATTGTTCGGAATTTTCGGGGAAAATGGCGGGAAAATCATGGTGGAAAAACCCCAAATTTTGGTGTAAATGACGACTGGCGACAGCGAACCTTCCAACCTTGCACAAGAACATGTTGGTCAAATAAATATACATTTAACAATTTTGTAACAAACTTACATTCCGGTGGAATACTGTGAAGGAATGACAGGTAAAGAATCTGTGCATGTAAACAATAGCAGTGTTGATACATAGTTGATTCCTGATGAGGGTAGAGCAGTTAAGCAACTATAAACAACTTTAAAACTATTTAGGAAAACAAAGTTACACTAATAAGTGACGGTGAATTCTACAGGCTATGTTAAAGTTTCGGGGACAAGTCCAAGTGGATGTGTATGTCAGTGCCCTCTTCGGGTTGTTGTGAGCCAATTTTCGATCACATGAAAGTACAGCCGAACCATACAAACTGACGATAAAAGATTGTTTCTCACTTAATTCTCTGATGTGAATGGGACTCACACTTTCAACTTTTGTCCCATTTCTTGAATAAGCAGAGCACCATGTTGTCTATAACTCGTTTCTTTGGGTGTTGATATTAGACCAGTTTTGAAAGAAGGGCTGTTGATGATTTGCTCCCTCGTTAAATACCACCTCTCCGTGTTATGGATGCCTATATTCGAGTTAGCTGGCGTCGTCATAACATGAAAAGATTGTCAAAACAACGATCAAAACAACAAACCCTTAAAGAGGTCCAGAAAACGGCCATATTGGATTTTCAGTGCGTCTGCTGCGAAGAAATAAAGCGCTCGTTTCTCCCAGTGCGCGGCGTATAAATGCTGCAATATTTCATATTTGTTATTAACCATTTTGATTCCAGCTGAATTTAACTTTCAGAGCAAGCATAGATTGTGATGAATTATTTACTAAATAGCATAAAACGTACTTAACGAAGTTTTACCTTTATAGTTTATCAATTACGGGTTATATAAAAAATTTGTAAGTTTCAAATTAAATATACGGTGCACTATTTTTTGATTGCGCGCATTACACATTACATGCTTAAGTATTACAGCATTAACAAGGCGACTGTAAACAAAATATTTTTTTGTCAAAATTTTTATTTTTCACTTTAGTTTAACTTATATTTATGTAATAAATTCAAATCTTATGATATTGTTATTATCTTAACAGTTACTATTGTAGCTTAAGATTTTGAATTAATATTTTTGTATTCCCTGTATTCCTTGTATTCCTTGTATTTTGATTTGTTTTATTTTGTCTACTATCAAAGAAAAAAAGAAACGAGTCATACATATTACATAACAATTAATAAACTAGCTTAGTAAGCAAAGCTGAATAATCAATCATGCAGCCTTTTTATAGGTTAGTTGGTAAAGCAAATTTTAAGTTTTAAATAACCGCGCTAATTAAAAATTACCCAGCTTGACGGTATATGGCTTGCTTTTAAATGTTAGAGAAATTAATAACCTGGGGCCAGGCTTAGTGTTTAAAACGCACCAATTGAAGATACAGTGGAATCACGGGCTTACACAATGATAGTCAGTGGTCAGGTAAATCATTAAAGTAAATCGTTTGTAATTCGCGCGCACTTACTATACGATGGTGATTATATATATTAAGCGATGGCAAAGAAATCATTTTAGAATCGAGCGCTTGAAAGCAATATTCACATTGCGCGGCTCGTATGATGCACGTGCGAGCTGAGCTAGTCGATCGAGATGTATGCTTTACTAGTCGCATTTACATTGATGCGTTCTGTTTGGACAGCTCCAGCCCCGCTTCTTTTCAATAATTTTTAGAAAAATACGATTTATTCGAGGACTGTTCATCCTGTTGTGATATTGTTCGTTTCTAAACGATACGATCGCAGTTGATTTTCAGCATTCGGTAATTATTGTATTCACATCATGTCATGGTCACAGACTAAAACTTAATGTCCGATCTTTTAAGCGTAGCTTCTCTGTACTCTGTAGTGTATCTGCTCTAGAGTCTCACCCCCATCATATTCTTGCATAAGTACTACCGATATTTTTCAAGCATTAGTTTCCTAGTCCTTTCCTTTTATTCAGGTTTAACTTTAGGATGTACTGATTTAACGCTGCTGAATTGTAATTTATCTTCAATTTATTATTATCATTGATATGAGCTGAAAGCGGGTCAGACGTTCAAAACAAAATATTTTCTGAATATGAAGTCATATCCCCGGCCAAATCATAAAAGATTTGGTGTATGTCCCCCTAATTTAGTGTTAACCAGTCTGCTGGGCCAGGGCAATCTAAAGATAGCCGGAGACTCAACAATTGATTTTTTTCTAAACGTTGGTACCCATTTGCAAAATAAATGTAGTGCACTTACATTTCGACACTCACGTGAACAGTGGAGATGTCCAGTTCAGAGCAAGTGAACTTAGTGAAGGATGATCAGGAATAATACGCTGATCATTTGGTAAAAACATATTTTTGTTTTAGGTTTCAAGGTTATCTCAGACGTTGTTTCACAATAACTAATCCTTGATTATTAGACGTGTTTCACTGTCTAGCCCATCAACCATAATCTTTGATTATTAGAATCATATGGTTTACTTGTCTATTTACCTTAGATGACTCAATTTGGTCGGACTGCCATGTTCGTATAAACTCTCCAATTGTTTGAAATTTTGACACACTATGCGACTCTAAATTCTATTTGTCTGCCTTGAAACATGAAAATCAGATGCTCATTACCTGAAACAAAGGCCACGTGGCCAGCTATTCGGCTACCACATGGCGGAATGTTGCCCAGATGACAATATGACATTCATGATTGGAAAGATTAAATTTTCCGAGCAATTGTAATACCTAGATTAGGTGTTATGTGGGAGCAATACCAATGCAAACCTTGACCTGTGCTCCAAGTCAACAAATCTACTTAATTTGTGTAATGCTCATAAGCCGCTAGCAGGTACAGTGCCGTATGCGTCTTTTACTCACGTACTCTTGACAAATATCTCGCCCATTTGTAAATGTACAGTCCAACGCTACTTTGTCGAATAATGTGTTCATTTGACGAACCTTTTCTGTTCATTGTCCCCCTGCCAGGTAGAGACGGCAGGTAGAGTCTACCTGCCGTCTGCACTGGTAGAGCTAGAGGGACAATAAACTTACACCTCAGAGGTCATATTTCGCTGACACGTGCTATCACGTGCTTATCGTTGCAGAGTCAAAGTATTCGTCTACATGTGAGGACTGCACTAGGATACTGGCTAATAAAACAGTTTACTGTCATTCAGACCGTTATGTTTTAAAATTCTAGCCAGTACGTATCTAGTAAAAAAGATTCTCTCTGGGCCACATTTACTGAAAAATTGTGAGTATCATGTCCATTTAAAGGTGGTCCTGATTGATCGTAGTGATTTTAGGTACATTTTCTAATGTTATATAAATTAAATGTTACATTTTATTTTAAATGGGCTAGCGTGTTATGACCATATTTAATACACTTATTTCCACATGAGACCCATAATAGTGTAGGTCACCTTCATAAATCCACGAAAAGCTTGTAAAAAGTTTGTCAAATTTTTCATATATAGTTAGCACCAAATTTGCCTACTCGTCTTTTACATTCCATTATTCTACATTTTATAATGAACGTAAATATTTCTGAAGGAGCTATTTAGGAGGATAAATCTCGGCTGACAGACTATTCAACTTTCAACAGTCTCAGCTCTGTCGGGACAGCCACAGACTTGCACTGACATTAGAACGAATAATGATATAATTACTTTAAAATAATGTAATAATAACTGAAAAATAATGATATGATTGCTTTAAAATGATTCTGCTTGAAATGCTATATCACTGAGCATCATGCACTTCATAAGCAGTAAACAACTTGCAACAAAGGAGTATTAAACAGTTGTTAGGTCTAACCCTTTCGGAACTGCTTACTATGAGTTGTCTAGAAATTTCTCAGCGTTGTTTGCGTCATAATACAGGACAAATACGATTTTTGTGACTGCTTTCGGATACCTATATTTGTATCACAATTATGCCATTAAAAGAATTATGATTGTTATCTAACATTTTCGATTGTTCGAATTTATGTTATCTTTTCTCGTTTTTCGCATATTTGATTGAGTTAGTATTCAAAATAACTTCAAAAATCAGTCTGAAAAATGTTCCGAGAAAGGCTAGCCGTCGTTTAATTTGTTGGTATAACTCCTTTAACGTTAATCGTCATTGAGAAAATTCCTTCCCCAGGATTTCAATACTCCAGTTGATCGTATAACGGATATAAAAATAACAACCATATTCAGATTGGTCAGTTCTAATGTTTTCGAACAGTAATTGTAAATAACACGTAATGTGTGATCATGAATATGGTGTGGTTACTAGTTACGCATTGAATCATCGACGCATTGAATCGTCAACTGTCTCTTTTACTGGAAAGAGCTTGTTTTTGTTTTGTTTCAACAACGTCCTATAACGAATCTGTGAACAACAATATCTAACTATAATGGTCAGGCGAAAAATTTTGTTCGTTTAAGAGGAGGCTCGAAATCAAGAGACCAGCCTTAAGCCTTTATCTTCGTGGGTTGTTAATAAATCACAAGACATTATCCTGCTTCATATCAGCAAGCATACCATCGTCTGACAATGTTATTGACTCCGTCTTGTTTAATTTTTACACAGGGTTTAGAAGCTTTATCATCAATTCAATACTTGTCACTGGTGCACACCATAACAATAACAAGATTGCAAGATCCTGTAAATTTCATAACCTGGTTGATTAATTGCCACCGAGATCAGGCTTGCAGGTTACCAAATGAATTGTCTTAGCTTGGCTGATTGGATCAATATCTTGATTGTACCTGATATGTTCAGAAACAGGTTTGAGGTTATTATATCTGAGTTTTATATATCTCACCATATCGTCAGCAGCAGCACAAAATGTAGCATGAGATTGGGTTAGCAAATGTAGTGAAATTTTAGTTGTTGCACAGTTTGTGTGTCATTTGTTTCGTCAATATAAAAGCAAAAAATAATGCGATTATTTAATATAATAACGATTATAATATATAAGACAGTTATGTAGAGTAGCCATAAGTACGACCATCAATAATCTATAAATAGATCTGTCAGCAGCAATCAGCTCGACAGCTAGTCAATTTGTGTAATAATCATAACATTCCTTGAAGTGGACAAAAATTAGCTTCTCTGACAGCTAACTACGTAATAACAATCCAATGAAGCAGTCTTCATTATAACAGTAGATTGACTACAGGTAATCATCACAATGATTTGACAAGCATGAGCACGCCGCACAAGGGGCATCTTCACGGCACTTTAAGACACTCTTGCTGCTGATTTGCAAGCTCAGCTCTATAGCACGAGCGACCTCTCGAGCTTCATCAGGGTCTTCAATTCCCACTAAGATCTTGTAGTGTTGTTTGTTTAGAGGAGACACACTCGTAGGTCCCCCACAATAAAACCCTCCTCTGTGTCCCTGTTTTGCAGTTCTCCCGTCCCTGTTAACCAGGGTGTCCCAACGTAAACACCTCGCTCTCTTGTCCTTGATCATACATTTAGCACAGTTGCAACCCTGGCTTGGTCCACACCTGACCCCACACTCATCCTGGCAGCAGTGACGTGTGGTCATGTGACTTGGCCCCAGTTTACCACCGCAGTAAAACTTTCCCGTGCTCCCTAGAGAGGGGTATCGTTGAGGTGGTCTCCTCATCATGCCCCCTCTTTGTCCACTATTAGCTGGGGCACTGTGTCTCCGTGGTCTCTCACCATCCTCCCCAGTACCGTACTTCTCGTCGTGAAGTTTATGTAGGATACGTTCCACGAATTTGTTATCGTGGCTTCGAAGAGGTGTTCTGCAATACGGACAAGTATTCCTGGGCCTTGGGCTGGAGATCACTCGATTAAAACAAGCACGACACAGAATTTGTCCACAGCAAGCAG